TCATTCTACACTACTCATTATTAAAGTCAATAAACATCATAGTTATGTGTGCTTATTTATATGTACATTATGTTTGCTATGAAGCAACAATTGTAAAATTCTCAAAGCTTTCTCAAACTGAAATCTATGACAGGAATACTATCCTCAAGCGGAGCTACGTCACTGACGTTCCAAGTTGCTAAGACGCACACCACTGTACCATGTATTTCTATGGGCTCTGCACGCGCTGCTGTGGAACGCCGGGCAAAGAACCGGTGAAAATTCAAGAAAACAACACAAACTCAACTTTGAAGTAATCCCGAACAACCAAATTTACATATGTTACACACGTAGGGCTAATCTTGTTACACTTTTCAGGGGAGTCTCAACACCAACCCCAAAGTACCGTTTTCTGAGAGTTTTCGGCCTTTGTTTCTACGGAGATGGTTGCCAGGTGGTGAAAATGCCCGGATGTTCGAGACTGAAAATAACTGAATTAATCCTGGAAGTATAATTTACTTACTTAATGTATATGTGGTCGCCCTGGTGGGTAACAAAGCATCCACGTCATCACTGGGTTCAATTGTTATGGAGTTTTTTCTGACGGCAGATCACGAGGTATACTCTCATTATATTCAATCTCCTCTGGCATTTCAACTAACGGTTCATCAAAGTGTTTGGGCCCTCCCTTTCCTCTATAGATGCAGTCTCAGAATTGCCGTTATCTTCCACAAACTGTGACTGCGTAAGTTTTGTTTCTTCAAGTCTATGGGAACCAAAGATTTTTCAAAGATTACTGTCACTGCAATTGTTCGTTGTATCACAAAACAATAACACTGACAACTAATGTGCTGCCTGGTTTGTGGTGCATGACTCAAGATCGCTTATATCAGATAGAAATCTCACATCCCAAAGAAGTTGTCTACTTGAAGAAAGCCTTAACAAAATTATTTCAGTAAGTTTTGTCTATTTATTCATATGCTGAATCAAATAAATTTATGAATATTTAATTATGTTAGTTTATGTTTGGTGTTGTCATTTGTGAATGCTATTTTTGTTATACTTGTTGGCATGGTTACACAAGTTTTTCTAACAACAGCCTCACTTTTACTTACCTCTGGTTGAGTTCAATAATTTCATTTTGTGCCGTTTCTATCACACTAGGTTCTGGTGATGGTTTCCTTGGTGACAGCATTGACGTGTCTTGTAGAGTTATAAAGGCAGTACTATTCATGGTGTCCTGGTCCTGCATGATAACAAAATAAAACCATTTACTGCATGCCTTGATTTCAAATTTAAGTCAACCATTAACAAGTCATTGAAAATGACACAGTCCCCGTTAAAAGTTCTCTCTGAGCTCGTCATATTAAAGCGGAGGGGTTGTCGTGAGCGTGTCCTTGAAACTCGAGTTCCAAGTGGCGTATACAACAGATTGTTTATTTACATCAAAACACGTGTTCCGTGTAGTAGTAAAATGGCCAAAAATAAAAACAGCCGTTATTCGGTCATCTTTGATCTGATTAAGAAACACACTGATATGTATGATGTATGTGCCAAATACAAATGAAAATGGTACATAAATTGTGGAAGTAGTAAGGCCAGATTTTGAAACAAATTGTCATGGACATGCATCCTAACATGTATAAAGTACATGTATGTGCCAAATTTGAATGAAAACTGACAGAGCACGTCCAAGATACCGCATAAAAAACAAAAACAAGATGCCTACCAGTTGACCATCTTTGATCCAA